TTTTTTTTTTTGTTTTGTTTTTTTTTAACGTTGTGTGGTTTGGGTGCAGTTGTATCAGTACTCAAGATGAGTACTCGTTCTGTTGGGGGGCATGCTCTCAAAGTTACCGACGAAGGAAGGCTGTTTGGGATTGGATCTAATAGAGCTCCACCTGGTGAGAATCGGGAACAAGAGGGACCTTCCATTCCACCTGAACCCCAGCTAGTTCAAGCTGTCCAGCAACCACAAGTTGTACGCCTATTGATGTGAGGCCATTGATGATGATGTTATATAATGCACAGCAAGAGCTTTTGCTGAAGTATACCTCTCCCTTCGATAAACTGTTGATTTGATCATGTCATTCTATGTTTGATATGGGTGCTAGTCTTATTTATGCAATTCTCATTCAATTTAGGCTAAAAACAATTCAAGAAGGAATCGTGGGAGGACCCATAGTTGATGTGGATTTTGGTAACATATTATTCCATTAATCTGCCTTGTTCATTATTTAGAAGCTTCATTGACATTTTTGTTTAACATATTGTTGACTTGTTCCTTGTCAAATCATTGATATTTCTTTCCTGTGACTTATGTGGTTAACTATTTTTTTCTTTCTGACACCCTCTCTCATATGATATTTGCAGATCAGAGTCATATAGCTGAAAAATGCTCCCAATTATTGCGGAAGAGATTCTTCTAGCCAAACAATTCTCAATACTGATCAATATATAAACTTGGAAGGCAGTGGCAGCTCTGAGGTAACATATTTTAAAACATGTCATATTTCATACACTGACAAAGATGAATAACAAGAGGACTACAAATCCTTTACTACTCAACAAACACATGTAATACTACATCATACGCTTTAAGAACAGAACACGATAGATTTGCCAACTTTTGAGAGGTTGGCTCTCTCCACCCAAGAAGGTTCTCGTATCTAATCATTTTAACTGCTCTGTCCTACCCTGGTCATTACTCTCTGAGTTTTTCTTCATTGCTATCCTTCTATATCTAAACTTTTTTGTTTTCTTCTGACCAATAGTCTCCATTTTCTGCCATTTTTGCCATCCTCTATGTCTCTCTGTGTGTGTTTTTGGTGGCAACAGTGGGTCGGGACCTATCACTCACGCGCAAACGTGCCTTGGCTTGAGATTCGTTCCACACATACTACTTCCTGGGTCCCATATTTTACCTTCTGTTTGTTCCATTTTCCCTTTGCATCTAGGCCCCTCTTGGTTGTAATTTTACACTTCCATTTCATTGACTTTTGTTAGGGGAAGAAAACTCTAAGTAGAACAATAAACAATTCTAGGGAGAAAGAGTTGGTTGTTTTATTTTATGTCGTCTGTCTTCATTGCATTGTTCGTTTGGTTGTTTTAGTCTTTTCAAGGGGGTACTTCTTTCTTGGAATCTTCACTTTGCTAGAGATCCCTTTGATAGAGAAGTTCATGAACTTGAGTACTTTTTTCTGATTGTTGAGTCAATTTGTCTTCTTCGGGTCCTTTCAGATATAGGAGTTTAGTACCATCCCTCTCTGAAATCTTTAGTGGTCCTCTATGGGGATATTTAGTATGAAGGAAGGAAAATCTTTACTTTTTCCCTCACACAAGGAAAGCTATATAATGTCTATTATATCTTTGTTGCCATTGATGTTAATGACTCCATCGGTATAATAAACAATGACGTTCCTAGTGTTGTTCATCATCTTAGCATAACTGGATTTTCTTGGTTTTAGGTGTTACAAGATTCTACCTACGGAATCCAGTATTGACAGTTTTTCCTGACTCACTATTGCAGTGGGGGAACGATAAAAAGTCATCTAAACCTCCAATGGAGCCTGTCTTTAGCTGTCCAATATGTATGGGCCCATTTATAGAGGAAGTGTCAACAAGGTGTGGTCATATATTCTGTAAGAGTTGCATTAAGGCTGCTATAAGTGCACAGGGCAAATGCCCTACATGTAGGAAAAGGTTACTGCAAAAGAGCTCATAAGGGTGTTTTTCTACCATCAACTAATTGAAGTAAGGTATGGCCATACGCATTGGTTAAACGGGCTTGTTGAATGCTTTTTTGACCTGATCTGTAGAGGAAACAAACAAGCTAGTAGTTTCCAACTTTCTGCCTCATGATTAGTTGATCGGAAATTAATGGCTTGTTTGTCTCATCGAAGACTGTTTTATGGAGGGTAGCTCAGGAAAAACCTAATTGACAGACCAATATTTGTGGGGTCCTCAAACAAACATGGGCCTTATTAATGGTACGATCAAAAAGAATTAAGAAGATAAAGGATTTGATCTTGTCATGTTTTATTTGGATTAGCTAAAATAGAGTAGAGGTTCATTTGGTTTGTCAAATGTTCTCCAAACAATAGTTTTTTCAGGCCAATAGAAAAGAAAAGAGAAGAGAAAATAGTTTTTCACTTGGTGTCTCGAGACATTTTCATGGTACTTTACTTGGTCAATGCCTTTTCTGTTGACTAAATGGTCTTTCTCTTGCATTTGATTTTTTCATACAGACTGGATTTAAGGAGAATCAGGAGTGGAGGAAACCAAACAATACTTTGGAGGGATTTAAGTTACAGTGCAGTCTTCATTGTGATCTTAGTGGTAGTTGCATTGGCATTTGTCCCAATTTGCTGTTCGGCCTCTGGTGTAGTACTGTAGTATAATTAACTCATGGGGATGCTGTAGGTTAATCTTTGTTTTCGGCTCAGTTTTGCTTGAGCATTAGTGCTGTGTCACCTAGTCTTGGCCCAATGGATTATGTATGTGACATTCACATACCTCATAATTTAAGAGTATGTTTGGATTTTAATTGAATATAATTAATTATAAAAAAATTAATTAATATGATTATTTAGAATATAATTAATTATGTTATGTGGTATATAATTGATTTATAAAATTTTTTAATCAGAATTGAAAAGCAAAATTGAAAAGTAGAGTTGAAAATAAGGTAAAATTTATAGTTTTGTAAAAGCATATCCAAACAACTATGTTCATATTAAAATCAATTATGAATTTAAAATTATGTTTTTTTTTAAATTTGAATACTCATTATACATGTTAAAATAAATTATAAACTCAACATCATGGTTTTTTTTTTAATATCCCAACATTTTATATATTTAAAATTAATTATGAACTTAAAATTATAGTTTTCTCATAAGCTATTAGCTTCTCAATTTAATTTTTTAATTATACAATAACATTTCTAAAAATTTATTCAAAATCATATTAGTTATTTTACAAATCATATTTTTTAGTCTATAATTGATGTTGACATAATACGATGTTTGGATATTTTTTAAAAACCATCGTTTTGAATTATAATTAATTTCAGCCTGTATAACTGAGTGTTTGGATATTTAACCGAAAAAACTTAATTTTGAATTTATAATTAATTTAATATATAATATAGATGTTTGAGTAATTTTTGTGAAAGTGTGGTTTTCGTGCAAATGATTGATTTTCAATTCAAATTCAAACAAGCACTATGCTATAGTTGTCCTTTATTAGTTGACAATATGTAGGCTTTATATTTAGTATATTACGTGTTCATTCTTGAATGAGGCCTGAATGGGTTCAATTTTTTTTTTAAATTTTTTTCAAGCTTAAACCCCCCTCTTTAAGTCGAGATCAATGCCAAAAGAAATTATTCAATACAATTATAGAGATAACAGTTAGGTCTTAAGACAACTGAATTAATGACAGTTAAATTTCTGACAAATCATGTTGATCTTCGCTTTAATTAAAACAATGTATATGCTCCTGATAGGTCTTATCTCTATTGGCTTGAAGATGGATGAGGTGGCCAATTTCACGGAAGAAAGCACACGAGTTGTCCTCAGATTGAAAAGCATGGACTTTCCCTGGATTTGTTGAGGAGCTAAAAGGGACCTCCTCATCAAAATCAGGTCTATCTTCTCTACAGAACCCATCTGCAGCAAAGGCAGTTAACTTTTAGAATTTCAGCAAATATGTAACAAGAATGATGTTGAATATTTTCTGACACAATCCATCAGCGAGAAAGCTATATATACAGAATCCCGGAGAAAACAATTTTCATAGAATAAAAACGCAAATGCAGTACATGATTAGTCTTTCTGAACTTTTAATGGGTTATTAGTTAGGCAGCATAACACGAGTCTTCAACTTTCCATCTTCACATATTTACAACCCAATATTACAAACTCGGGAAACCTCAAAAGAATTAAAGCTGCAGTTGATTGCGATATGATATGGGTACAGAATAGAGGGGGCCTAATCCTAAGGTATGTACAAAGCATCAAAACCAAGTAAATCAAGACAAATGCTCAAGACGAAGCGCTACATGAAACAGCACGAGAAGCGAGTCAGTGAAATCACAAACTACATTAGTAAACAAGTGTACTAGAGAAGTAAGAGCATTCAGCTTAATAAAATCAGTTAACTTTGTCATGGTAATCTCTTTTTTTAGTAGCTTGGCAATTTCTCTTTCATTGCCATGAGTAGATGATGAAGCACCCTCTTAAAATTGAGGGTTCGAAAGTTCAACCTTAGATAAAATCTTTTGAATATGTCTATGGGGTTGACCACCCTTAATTCTAGCTTGCTTAAGATCCTGCCCTCGACATGAAGGGGTGATTCATTCTGTGGAGTAGAGGACTTATCAAATGTCCTACTGCTAGTGGAACTTCTACCAGAGGGACGACGCTAGGCGGCATTCTCACTATTCTAGGAAATATGAGAAATATTTTAATTCAAAATACAATAGTTTATAGGAAGCAAATAATTAGGGAAGAAAAGACTCTTTTAGGACTTTCTAGTGGAACTTTTAATGAAATCTCAATTATTATAATGCCTGAGTTCATAATAATAATTAAAACTTTAAAGAAGAATAATTGCTTCACATAATTATAGAAATTTAGGCTCTAATACCATCTGTCTAACCTAATACTAAAGGTATGATCGGCATAAAAAATATGAAGAGAGTTGGAGTTAATATATAACAATAAAGTTCGTAAAGTTTTAAAATATTTCATAGAACTTTCGGCAGATTCTCCTCTATAATTCGAATCTCCTAAAATTTTCACAATAGAATAGAACTTACCACCCAGACCAGCAAGGAACTAGTTTCATTGCAGTAATTTACATAATAACAAAATAAGATTAGGACCTAATTATGATATATGTAGAGCACTAACTTATAATTTACAAAATATAGTATAAGGTTTCACCAAAAAGAATAATCACCATGTGCTTCCCTTTTCCAAAAAGCAAAAAGGGCCCTCAATGGTCAGTTGGAAGCCAGGTTTAGCTACAATATCTAGACTAAAGAAATTACCGATAAGTAGCGTTCCAATCAAAATTATAATAAAGAAAACATGAAGATAATAAATAATAAATTTAACTTCAAATGATTTAATGAAATAATGAATTATCCTTAAATTAGAAATAAATAATGATTTTTTTTCATAATAATATGACTGTGAAATTTGACAATATTGGTAGAATTACATATATGTATTAAAATTTTTTACTGCTCATAAAATATAAAGATTTAAAATAATAGTGCAGTTCGATAAAGTACTTTAAGAGAATTACTAAAAAATGATAAATTTTAGTTTAGATTTAGGAGGGTTAATTAGAACGAATAACAAGTATGGACACAACAATTCATGAAAGTAAATAACCAATCAAATATTGACACATAATTTACAAGGGTAGTAACTAGTCAAGTGCAGTTGAGAGCCATGAAACAAGCGTGGCAAAAGCCACGAATAAAGCGCAGACATGAAGCCCATGAAAACAAGCGTGAGTATAGTACTTACAAATACCATTGCTCTGATCCACGTGCGTTGGCTTTCGCACAGGAATATCATCTCCTATAACACCCTGCTAGTTGGGTGTAATATGACGCCCCAATGGCTATGGAATTGCCGTTAGCATCCAACCTTTTGAATTCAGTCCCCCTTAATAAAATTAAGCATATATGAAGCAAGAAAACAATTTCAAATTTTTTTCATTTTCAAACACTATTCAACTATTATTTTTTATTATTATTTGTCAACGATATAAACTATCAATAAAATTAACACATTTTCATCAATAAAATAATTATTATAAAAATAAGATAAACAAGAATATTTATACAATTTATAAAGGATTAATAGTAAAATTTTAAATAAAGAGATTTTATAAACACTTTACTAAAAATTATTCAAAACGTAACCCACTCACCTAATAATTTTTTCAAAATTTTAAAGTATGCTTCTCTTAATCTTTTACTTTAATTCTAATGGTGTTCCTGATTTCTTAACAAATGAATCGTAATTTTAAAATCATTTATCAAGAAAATTTTCAATCACTAGTTGTGCATTAAAATTCAATCTAAACAATTTAACAATAATATTCAAACAAATTATGTTTCAAATATAGTTAAGTTAGTTAAATTATTTGACAGCTTTTCATTTATCCTCATACTTCTTTATGACTTATATTAATTCATAAATTATAATAAATGATATCAATTATTCTTAAACTTTCTCTAGATAAAAAAAATGAAATAAACATGATACATAATTATTTCTCCCAGTTTGATATTTTAAAATTTTCAATTAACAATTTAAATCAAAATTATAGATACTTCTCCAAGTGAATCTTAACTACTCACAATTCACCAAATTTTCCCACGACACATTTTTACAAATACCTTAAGGCATATATTTATTATTGACAAATTTAAGATAAATAATCATGCAATTCAACAACTTGCTTTCCCTCCGTGTATTCTTTAAATATATCTACAAATACAAATACATTGAGGGCATTCTCCAATAATTAAGCATCCAAGTAAGTTCCACAACTCTCAACCTTTAATTCCATAATTATATTTCAGCTCATCATCACTATAAAACCATTTTCCAGCATCAACCAAAATTTCTCCTTAATCCTAACTAAAAAACTACAATAACAGTGAGAA